GAATTTCAAGAGGTTTAAAACTTATGTAATTGATTCAACCAAAAAGATTTTCATATTTTGAAAAAATATTTAGATATTTTATCCCTTTTGTAACACGCTGAACATAAGGGAAGTTTTTAACTCACAACTATAATTGCATAGTTTTGGAAACAATACATGAACCGAGTACTTAACACACATGCAAACTATAATAGGTATAGTTTGGGATTACAATGCACAGTTTTACAAATCCAGAGCTTATACATTAACAAACATATAAACTATGGCGGACTCAGTTTATGATATACATTACTAATTTCGGATTCAGGAGTACAACACTAAATAATTATTTAAGTATAATTATTATTACTCTAAAAAGCATACAAACGAATTTAAATTCAAGGGAACAATACAGAACCATACGTAAACTAGTTAATACGGGATTGGGAGACATCTCTTCAATTGTACCCTTTGGGGTACAGACTAAATCCTATCATTTAGTGTAATTAGAGTCTCCTGGATGGAGAGTGTGAGGTTTGTGAATAAATGTATTCAGGACTAAAAATCCCACACCTGAACTACTAGCTACAGTTAGGCAGACATGTATAGGGTGACAAATATCATACCGTCTGACGCCTGAAGAACGTCGCAGAGGTCATCAGTCATATCAAGCATGGTTATACGACTCACAATAGTATAAAATAACATTTGTTTCCGGTATTTCATTATTCATTAGTTTTATTTTAATTAATAGAACTACTATATATTACTGTAGGATTCCATAGGATACAAAACATGATTTTATTTTAAGAAATGAAACTACTATACGTACTGGAGGTAACCAGGGTTTTCAAACATAACATTCTATTCATTATTGGTGGTAGCCAGGGTTTTCATACAACGGGTTTCATTCAAAACAACATTATGCAATACAGCTGGTGTTAACCAAGCATACGAACTAGTATTTTATACTCTACAACAAAACACAGTAACAATCATACATGTTGAAAAATATTGGATTTTCTTGGGATGCATACAAACATTTTTACAGATTCAATGACAAGTTTTCATTACAAAAACACTTTTATGAACTCACCAACTTTATGCTGGTACTCTTTCAAAATCACTTGTATTCTTAGGAAATCAGTAGATATGTACTCCCGTAGCTTTTTTGAAAAGACTGAGCGTATAGAGTCACGTATTTTATATTTTGCTATACTTTTGATGTATACAAACTATGTTTCAAAAAGATGTAAATATCTATATTTCAATGTGGTTGTGTTTATTTGATTACTATGATGCAGTTGTTGTGATATTGTACATGACGTCCTTTACTCTCGAACGTTTTCGTCGTTTCGGTTTGGGGGTGTGACAAATTGGTATCAAAGATATTGTTTATAGTGAACTAAGTACACCGAACCTTACATGGTATACAACTATAAACGTTAAGGGTCCGAAGTGCTCTGAACTAAAAATATACTTTTTAAAATATAAGTATTTTATAAGAAGTATACAAGTATATATACATACCAGAAGCAATATTGCAAGTAGAACAAAACAAAAGTATTTGGATGTTGGACACTACAATTAAACCTGGATAGTTATGTAATCATGTCTGGAATAAATATAGTCTGATCAACTATATTTATTTGAGACACGACCAACATGTGTTTGGGAGTGACTGTGGTGTTGCAACAAGCCTAAAACTTACCAAGCTCTACAATAAGGGAATGATAGAACAAAACATACAACTTAAAATATTAGAGGAGTATTTTATCTAGAGCCAAACTCAGTGTAGAGATTCATTCAAAGTGTTGCTACTTATTTCTTCTCTAGCGATAGTTTACTTGTATTGGTAGCTTTTCTTTGTATATCGCTTAGTAGAACACTTTATCTATCGGGTTGAGATATGTCTTGTTCCATATCGCTTGATTCTAAAATCTAGGGGACTTACCATCCTCTTCTTCTTGATTCTTTTAGAATAAGATTCCTCCGAGGAAGAGACCCAACAAAAAGAACAACAATCCCCTAACAGATCTGATGTCGACACCTTCTTAGTACGACCCAACTGTCTTCCAAGCAGCTGTGATAGC